TGTACATGGTGTTTTCCAGCAAAGGAATAGCAAATGGATGAGTGGGGATGTGACATCACTAACAACCAATGGCTGTGCTTCTATGCCATTCTCTATTTTATGCTGCAGAATGAAAGAGGCACATTAGTAATGCTTTGTGCTCTCTGCTAAGAATTCATGTGCCCTTGCATGTAATCCCAGATAATGAGAGGTAAAGCATTAGTGGCTTTACAAAGTAATGCCTTGGTAATAGACACAACAAACTGGATTGTTTAAATGTTTCTTCTCTAGTTGCTGTATGTGAAATATCCAGACTATTGACTATTCACATGTTCAACATTTATTCAGGCATATCTCATAAATTTTTCATGGTTAAAATTTTGCATTAGGATTTACTTTACATAAAAGAGGCTAATGTTTCTGCATAAAGCAAATAATTGTATTAAAAATAGTGTTCATTGTTAAATATTATACTAATAAAAAGGGTGACATTGATTTATTGATAGACAAAAAGTCATGCTACCTAAGGATTTTGATGCCACCTGACCTGTTGGGAGGGGCATTAGGTTAAGGCAGGGGTAGGCAACCTTGGCTCTTTTATGACTCTATGCTGGCTCAGGAAGTCCACGAGTCATAAAAGAGCCAAGGTTGCCTACCCCTGGGTTAAGGGAATGCTATAGTAATTGTGAATAGAGTCAGGTGAGTCACCTGGGAACTTCTGTGCAGGTCTTATCAAAATATTTTATAGAGCATGTCAGGATGCAAACCTATAATGAACTGTGCATATGAAAAGTTGCAAGATGATTTCCTAGGACAGCAGGTTGGGACTTCTAATAATAATAATAATAATAATAATTTAATTTGTACCCCGCCCTTCTCCTCACCGGACTCAGGGCGGCTAACAGCCTTATAAAACCACAGTACAATAAATATCCATTAAAACCAAATTAAAAGAAAATATTTGAAGCGGCCAATCGTTAAAATTAACCTTTAAAATACCCTTAAAAACCCCACTAAAATTCCCTAGGCCAGACCCGCTTGTTGAAAAAGCCATGTCTTTAGGGCGCGGCGGAAGGAGGGGAGATCCGGGTAGTTCGTTCCAGAGGGTGGGGGCTCCCACCGAGAAGGCCCTCCCCCTGGGGGTCGCCAGCCGGCACTGTCTGGCTGACGGCACCCTGAGGAGACCCACTCTGTGGGAGCGTACCAGCAGATGGGAGGCAACCTGCGGCAGAAGGCGGTCTCGGAGATATCCAGGTCCGATGCCATGGAGCGCTTTAAAGATGATAACCAACACCTTGAAGCGCACCCGGAAGGCCACCGGCAACCAGTGCAGCTCGCGCAGCAGCGGTGTTACATGGGAGCGACGAGTCCCTCCCAACACCGCCCGCGCGGCCGCATTCTGGACCAG